GAAGAATGAAGCCATGGACAAAAGGTGGTAGCGAGTACAGAAATTTTATTGCAAGCAGAAGAAATTTTATTGCAAACAGATGCTATTTCTAAAACCCTAGTTCTAATTCTAAGACTGTCTCTCCTGGCATGGAGAGACAGGGTGGGGTGGGGGGGTCCCTTAAAGAGGGTGGCCACTGCTTTATTTGTCTTAAGGCATTTATAAAAGCTGTAGCTTTTTTTTTTTATGACCCTTTTCAATTGGACCCTTTCCCAACTTAGGACCTCCGTGCTTTCCCCATTGGTCACTCTGCTAAAGTCAAAGCCACATGGTTCTCCCTTCTTTCTTTTTCTTTATTTTGTAACATTCCTCTATTCTCTGTGAAAATGTTTCCTTTTCCCCAATATCCTGTGACTTTTTTTTGTCCTTCACATATCCAACTTATTTGTTTAAGTTGGAGTTATTATTTATTTATCTTATGGTACCTAGCAATCTTATCCTGCCAAGCCTATAGACTGAAACTGCTGTCTGCTTTCTCTCCTCTGCTCAAAAAAGTAAAATAGCCTCTTTTTTTTTTTTTTTTCCCAGAGATGTTTTATTACCCCTATAACTCTCCTAGCTGCTCAGGCCAGAAATACCTCTGTCCTTGGTTTACGGTTGTTTTAATTCTTCAGGCCATGATGCTTCTATCCTCTCTAGACCTTATCCCTTCCAGTATTAAACTAATTACTTAACCCTTTTCACAGTTAGGGACCTGGAGCCATCAGAGGGGTGCATGAGTTACCAAGGGGGATAGAGGAGGGAGGGATGAGGGGCAACTGCATTTATGAAATTGCTGATATTGGATCATTTTTTGACCTCCAAAACAGTCATTTCATCTGGTTCACACTAAAACATAAGAAGTTGCTTCAGTAGGGACCTTGTGCAACTATACTTAAAACAAGGGTATTACAAGCTTAGGTATCTTACACAAAGGTAACAATAAACAATTAAATTAGAAAAAGCTCCTCTTTAAATCTAGCAACATTGTGCCCTGTCCAGTGTGGTTCTGTGGTTGGAGCAATGTTCCAATGCCAGAAGGTGGTGGGTTCGATTCCTGGTCAGGACATATAACCAAGTTTCATATTCAATCCATAGTCGGGGCACATGCAGGAGGCAGCTGATCGATTTCTCTCTCTCACATTGATGTTTCTCTCTATCTCCCTTCCTCACTCTTTAATATCAACAAAACATATCTTTAAAAAAAACTAGCAACATTGCAATTCCATAACATGGTGAGGTGCTGGAGTCTCCTGTGAAATTACATACAACCAAGCAGTATACTGCAGAGAAGTTTATAGATGATTTACAATCCCCTTGTTATTGTGAGAGGACAATGGTGCAGCAGAGCTCAGGACCTCTGAGACTGGGAAGACTGTCTGAGTAGTTTTTCAGAGTAGGCCTTGAGGTTCCACCATTCTGTTACAGGACATGGGCTGGCCCACAGCAGGTCTGCCTCAGGCCAGCCTATAGTGTGTGGGTTCTTAACTTTATGTAGGAAAGATTTCTTAATACAAGTCCAGGTGGGTTTGAGTATGTTTATCAGCCCTGGGGACAGAGAAACAAAGGAAGAAATTAGGGTAGAAGAAATAACAGGGGGAGCCCAGGTGGTGCTCTGCTTTGGCTTTCTAGGAAAGAAGTGAGCCAAGGCTGGGCTGCTTTAAGTCACTGGGAAGTGAGAGAAAAGGGGGCCTTAGAAACAGGATCAGGGGGTGATCTCAGGTCAAGCTGCACTGCCCAATGCTATCCTAGCTGCAAGTCTCCTGGACATCCTTAGAATTTAGGAAGAAATAAAAAGTTCACGCCTAGGATGGGGCATGGGCCTGCTTTAGAGTGAGCATTGAATCTTTGAACTGAGGGTCTTCTTCTCCTCCTCCTCCTCCTCCTCCTCCTCCTCCTCCTTCTTTCTTCTTCTTCTTCTTCTTCTTCTTCTTCTTCTTCTTCTTCTTCTTCTTCTCTTCTTCTCCTCCTCCTCCTCCTCCTCCT